TTTAATGAATTATGGGTGTCGAAAGTAGAGACTTTAAGCTTTAAAATGCTTTTTTGATCATTCCGATACGATCATTTTTGATGAAGTTACACTCTCTTGAAATTTGCTTATTTTTAGTGATCAGAATGGGTGATGCTTTAATTTTGTTGTCGAGTGTATATAGGACATATAGGTAATGTATATAAGTTGTGCCTGTTCCGAAAGTAATAAGATTGATTTTTTTAAATTTATATTGATAACACAAACAATTAATTATTCTTAAATTTGGTTTATTTTAAACACATTGAGATTATACGCATTTTTATTTGTTAATTATGTAAGAAGTAAATGCAAAACGCGAAACAGGGTGTTTTGGGTGTATCACGAGAATGGAGCAGAAAAATATTGAATAGTATTAAGTCATTTTTCAAATTTTGTGTTAAATTCGATGAAAGTTCTACACAAACATTTGAAAAATTAAGAAAAGCTAATAAAGACTAACTCGTGGTGACGATCGTAACGCGAGAGCTGCGCGTCGGCTTTCTATACCAAAGAGCGAGGGTTAAATTTAGATGCTTTTAGAACAATATAAGAGTTATTGATCTCTATAAGCCTTCCTTAACTTTTCAAATGTTTATTTCACTTTCATTGCATTTGACTCAAAATTTGATTTTAAATTATTCAATAATAATCTTCTGCTTTATTATCATAACGTTCACAAAAACATATTGTTAAGCATTAGCTTTTGCAATTACTTCTCATACAACTATACGAACACAAGCGCGCATAATTTTAATATGTTTAGAACAAATCAAACTTCTTCAGTTATTTTTATACTGTTAATTTAGGCAGGGTAGGCAGCAAATATTTGACGGATTTCTGATATATAAGGATTTATTCTTATGCGTAACAGAAAGTGTTATGTGTATCGGTGGAATGTGTTAAGATCACACGCGTAGTTTCGCTTGAAATTGTTTATTTATAATTTATACATTAACTGTAAACTATTGCGACAACGTTTAGGGGCGAACTTGTGCCCTGAGTCGCACTGATTGTA